CCAATAAGAGTTCAAGTTGAAATACATGACTCCTTCATTATTCCTCTACCTCCATCCTTGTTTTTCTGAGTTGATATTAAGGAATGGGTTTTAATCTGGCTGTTGATTCTCTTGAGAAGTAAAGAAGGGTTAATCACTATATTTAATGCAATAGGTTCGGGGCATGATTTCCTTAAAGTAGTAGCTTCTTCACAACATATCAAAAGTTAGCATGTTTAGCCATTCTCAGTAAACACCGCTTAACTTCGATGAACTTTGCAACCTAATTTTTTTTTCATTTTACTTCCAAAGTTAAAATACTAACTCTGAAAGAAAATAAGAAGAAAGCAAAAGTAAAAACCACACCCACCCAGCCACATGCCCACTTGGTCATGCCCACCCAGTCACATGCCCACCTAGCCATGCCCACCCAGTCACATGGCCACCCAGTCACATGCCCACCTAGCCATGCCCACCTAACCACGCCCACAGAACCTGTTGTTAAATTATTTGAATCCCACCACTGGCTGAAACCTAGGCTGAAAGACTTGGATAGGCTGGATAAAAATTGAGCAAATTTTGTGAAATAGAAAGACTGAAGAGTTGTGCTTTAAGCATAACATATTCAGAATGTACTTTGTACTTGCTTCGTGACTCATAGATACCCAAATACCTGAAGATTTTAAGCTGTTTTACATTATTTCCACCCACACATCTTAGACGGCCTCACAGGTAGCTTTAATTTAGTTGCAGAATAACATTTTTGGACATTTCTTTGCAGTAATAAATAAGTACAAAGAACCCTGTTTCAAATCAGTCTGTATGTATAAAAGAAGTACTGGGTCATCAGCTTAGAAGAGAATTGAAACATGCTTAACTTTCCAATTTTGGAGGATGACTAGCTGGATTAATCAATTTTGCTACAAAATGATCAATAAACAGATTAAATAATAAAGGTGCCAGAAGACAATCTTATCTGAGACCTATTCTGATGGGAATTTCCATTGCATAATGTTAATGTCTATTTCATCACACTTTTGGCCAGGGGTTTTACATACCTGTAGATTAGAAAAAATATCTATCTATCATCCATCTATCTATCTATCTATCTATCTATCTATCTATCTATCTATCTATCTATCTATCTATCTATGAATTATTCCATTTCTCCCATAATTTAGGTCTGGATACTAGTTGACAGATATATCTGAAATCAATAAAGAGAGTATAAGGACCTGAACGTGTTCTAAAGGTGTAGTTTTCTATTAATGGAGCATGGTCCAAACAGGAATAGCTTGCTTCAAAGCTGACCAGTTCCTCAGCTAAGATATTCTCAGTTGTAATCTAATTCAGGTGTTTATTGTACAGCATAGCATTTGCCATTCAAAAAAGATGTTGAACCTTTGGAAAAAGTGCAGGGAAGAACAACTAGGATGATTAAAGGCCTGGAGACTAAAACCTATTAAGAACGGTTGTAGCAACTGGGTATGGCTAATCTAGAGAAAAGAAGCAGTAGCAATAGTAGTATTCCAGTATTTGAGAGGCTGCCACAAAGAAGAGGATGGTCATCTTATTTTCCAAAGCACTAGAGGGCAGGACAAGAAAGAATGGATGGAAACTAATCAAGGAGAGAAGCAACTTGGAATTTAAGAGAAACTTCCTAACAGTGAAAACAATTAATCAGTGGAACGACTTGCCTCCACTAGTTGTGGGGGCTCCAACAATGGAGGTTTTTAAGAAGAGACTGGACAGCTACTTGTCTCAAATTGTATAGGGTCTTCTGCTTGAGCAAGGATTTCGAAAAGAAATACTAGGCTGCATCAAAAGAAGGATAGTGTTACTATCACTTTATGCCATACTAGTAGGACCTCACTTGGAATACTGCATCCAGTTTTGGTCACCATGGTACCAAAAAGATGTTGAGAATGCAGAGAAGAAAAACAAAGATGATTAGGAGACTGTAGGCTTAAACATGCAGGAATTGGTAATGTCTAGTCTAATGAAGAGAGGGACTAAGGCAGGGGTGAAATGCTACCGTTTCACTCCGGTTCGGGCAAACCGGAAGTAATAAAAACTACCGGTTCGAGTGAACCGGTAGTTTAAAAAAGCTACTGGTTCCTCTGAACTGGTATTTCCGACGATCAGCTGTGCAGCGGGGTTTAGCTTTGCTAGAAAGTAGGAAATCCTGCTTTCTAGCAAAGCTAAACTACACTGCATAGCTGATCACACACCCCACCCCACTGTTCTACTTACCTTCTCAAGCTTCCTTTTGGTGCATACTGCGTGTGCGTGGACGCACAGCACACACCAAAGGAGGCTTGGGAAGGTAAGTAGAACAGCGGGGTGGATCAGCTGTGCAGCACAGTTTAGCTTTGCTAGAAAGCAGGAAATCCTGCTTTCTAGCATCACGTGCCACAGCTAATCCCCACAGCTAATCCCCACAGCTAATTGCTTCTACTTACCTTCCCAAGCATCCTTTTGATGCATACTATGCATGTGCACACACATGTAGAGCGTGCGTTTGGCACTCAGTGCGCATGTGCAGCCAGTGAACTCGTAGCAAAATGGTTCAGATTTCACCACTGGACTAGGAGTAACATAATAGCAGTCTTCCAAATATTTCAATGGCTGTCACACAGAAGAGAGGGTCAACCTAGTCTCCAAGCACCAAAAGACAAGATAAGAAGTAATGATGGAAGCTTAACAAAGAGAGATCCAACCTAGAATTAGGGAGAATTTTTCTGATAGTAGGAATAATTAATCAGTGTAATGGCTTGCCTCCAGAAATTGTGGATTCTCCACTATTGAAGAGATTGTGACAGCCATTTGTCCAGAATGATGTAGGGAAGTTGAACTTGAAGGTTTCCAAGGTCCGTTCCAACTATATTATTATGTAATTCTGTAAGTGGATGGGATACTAGTTACCTTGTTAAATCTGTACTTCCTTTATGAAGTACAAAAATCACCAGGATTAGATCCTAGTCAGAAAGCATTTTACCTGCTATCAATACAGGTAAAAAAGGGACAGCAAAACATGGACCAACCAGTGTAAATCCTGATGTTCCTCCATATTGATGAAATTTCTTCCTCATGCTTTGGTAAATTTGAACTAGTCAAGTAGAGTAATCTGAATGCATGATTCCCTTCAATAGTTCCCTTGTCCTATTATGAGTACTGCTGGAAATTAAAAGAATATGCAGCCCTCAATATGTAAGTCACTAACTACCCATGTTTTCTGACATATAACCTTTCAACTTTTGACTTTTCTGGATGCAAGACATTCATTGCTTCTCATTCCACCTTCAGAACAGATTGATTACCTCTTCTTTGTGGCAGTCCCTTAGATATTGGAACACTGCTATCATGTCATCATTAGTTCCTCTTTTATTAAAACAGATAAATTCAAATAGAAATTTCATTCATCATTAATTAAACAACAAATTAATCAAAATAATTGAATTAAATTTGGATCTCACTCTTTAAAGGTGGCTCTCTCTTCAATTACTCTAAAATGAAATAATAAGCTAAAGTATTGGCGGTGTTTGAATTTTGGCTGATGTGCATATTTATCACCACTATGTTTATTTTGGGTGCACAGCTATTGTAATATTATTAGAATTTTGTATGCTATTTCTAGGGGACACGGTGGCTCAGTGGCTAAGATGCTGAGCTTGTCGATAGAAAGGTCAGCAGTTCAGCAGTTCGAATCCCTAGGGCCGCCTAATGCAGTAAGCGCCTGTTACTTGCCCCAGCTTCTGCCAACTAGCAGTTCAAAAGCATGTAAAAATGCAAGTAGAAAAATAGGGAACACCTTTGGTGGGAAGGTAACAGCGTTCCATGCGCCTTTGGCATTTAGTCATGTCAGCCACATGACCACAGAGATGTCCTCTGACAGCACTGGCTCTTCGGCTTTGAAACGGAGATGAGCACCACCCCCTAAAGTCAGGAACGATTAGCACGTATGTGCGAGGGAACCTTTACCTTTACCTTTTATGCTATTTCTATAGGACATCTTGATTCCTTCAGTTTTCACTACTATTCTCCATTTGATGGTAAGGGTGGCACAGTTGTCGAATCCAAAGTCCATTGTTTATATGGACAGTGTTGACCAATCGTAACTTTCATATTTCAACAGCTGCTCACTCAAACTTTATACTATCAAGATGAGATAGATGAGGTCTTCTCTATGCCTAGATGTATTGCATCTGCCCAGAAATGCACAACAAACATTAGAGGCATATTTCAGGATTGGGTGGTAACTATCTCAATGTTATCAGTAAACCATGGGAGTTTTTACAGATTTCAAGCAGCAGTGCCATTATACTATCTACATAGTATATTCTGAAAGGTTCCGATCAAAGCATGTTTTACAAATCTGAGAAGAAATTTACTAAGTAAACTTACTTACTAAAACCTGCTATGTTTGAAAATAATAAGCAATACATTAAAAATCTTCTGTAGGTGTTTCATTGGTCAGTTTTCCAACTCAAAGGTTAGATGTATAATTCAGGTTTTGTTGAACAAGGGCTTTAAGGGAAACAGAAGCTTCTATTAGTAATTTCCATTCTAATTACTGAGATCTTCGGGAACTGAAATGCATTATTTGGATTACATTAGAGACTGAAATATTTTTCATCGATGAGAAATTTTCTCCAATCCACTTAGTAGAGGAATAATGAAAAATTCCTCAAATATTATTTCCAATGCCATGCCCACTAAATACTGTAACTGCTGAAAATTTCCATATTTTTAAAATCTGAGATGCAGTATTTGTTCCACTTAGAAAATTCTTCCTAAGAGAACCAGAATTAGTGTTAATTGATAGAATTTTGTCATAGATTTGTTCATATGAATTTTTCTCTTCAATATATGTGAGAGATTTTTGATAGAAATTTATGTTGAAATGATTATTATATGTTTAACTATATGGTACTAAATCAACAATTCTGGCACAAAATGAATCCCACATTTATTGTTGCAATCATGGAAACACTTAATGCACCACACCAATAAACAAAGTCTGAATCATTTCTTTATTAACTGTCCCTTCGTATTCAAATCAGGTCTAAAAATAATAATATAGCATTTGGGGAAAAAGATGCAGCCCAGTAATCCAGCTGCCGAAGCCAAAATGGAGAAGATCTCCACAGCCACCATATATTTTCCCTTTGTACTCAAGTAGGTTGGAACAAACGATATCCAGACACTACAAAAGACCAACATACTGAAGGTGATAAATTTGGCTTCATTAAAGCTGTCAGGTAACTTCCTGGCTAGAAAGGCCACTGTGAAGCTGGTAGAAGCCAAGAACCCCATAAAGCTAAGGACAAGGTAAAACAAGATGGCTGAACCTTCATTACATTCCAAGACAATTTCTTCAGTCATTGAGTGCATGTCTAAATCTGGGAATGGGGGAGAAATTATCAACCATACTATACAAATGGTGAATTGTGCTATGGAGCAAGATAGGATAATACCTTTGGCCAACCTGTTCCCCACCCATTTCCTCATTTTGGAGCCTGGCTTAGTGGCCATGAAAGCAATAACAACAATGGTTGTTTTCCCCAAAATGCAAGAAAAGGCCACGGAGAAGATGATGCCAAAAGCAGTTTGTCGCAATAGGCATTTCATTTGGTCAGGTTTCCCAATGAAGAGTAAGCTGCAAAGAAAGGAAAGGAAGAGGGCAATGAGAAGAATATAGGTAAGATTTCTGTTGTTGGCTTTGACTATGGGTGTGTCCTGCTCTTTAATGAAGATACACAGAATCAAAGTTGTGATGAAGGAAAAGAAGAGACTTACAGTGGCCAAGGTGATTCCCAGTGGCTCACTGTAAGACAGGAAGGTTGTTGTTTTCAGAATACAGAGATTTTGAGCCTTGTTTGGATATTGATCTTCTGAACATTGGAAACAATCAACTGCATCTGGAACAAGAAAGTATTAAGATCCATTTCTAGAAATAGTAATATAGGGAAACAGATAGTTAATTGATAGAACAGCTGATTAATGAGATGTATTAAAAATGTATGTTTAATGTACAGTATATTTAGTGCAGGGGTAAAATCTACTTACCTTCTCTACCGGTTCGGAAGGGCACGTGCGTGCGCGGACCCTCTGCGCATGTGCAAACCTTTCAGTGCATGCGCAGAGGGTAAAAAAACTGGTTTTTTACCCTTCCTGGTTACTTCCTGTTTTAACCAGGAAGTAACAATGACCGGGCGGGTGGGCAGAGCCTCACGCTGCTGTCGCTACTGGTTCTCTGAACCACCCACTGTCATCTCTACCAGTTTGGCCGAACCGGTAGCATTTCACCCCTGATTTAGTGCTATGCTGTAAGTATACTAGGATATCTCTTTTATTCATATTCTCCACCTTCCCCTTCTTCCCCTCCCTCCCTTCACTCTCTCACTCTCTTCTATCTTTCTTGGGAAAATCCCTCATCCTACAACAGAAAAAGGTTTTCATTAGGCTTATCTTTTCATAGTTTTGTTCTGCATTAATCAGAAGCAATAATGTGCAACAACCCAAATAGGTCATTTATTTTCAGATTCTCTGAAATATTCCTTTTATTTTTAAATTTATGAAGCAATGTCATTCATTCAGTCATGACATTAAAAGCCCCCTTAGGAGTTTTGAATATTAGCATTTTGAATCACAGTTACTGTAAGGAGTCTGAATAGTTTTCCGCAAAGCAGCTCTTACTCATCTGGTTTGAAATTTTCCCTTTTGCACATGGAATGCAGTCATAACAGCAAAACGGCTTCCCTTCTATTTTCCTCTTCCTGGTCCCTGAATAGCAATTGTCATTGCATACAGAAAGAGGTTGAACCTATCAAGAAGTGAAAACAGGATTTATTAAAAATCACAAGTTTTCTATCAGAAAATTCAATTTCAGGGTGAATTTTACTTTTAAATAATAGGGTATAAGTGTCACAAAAATCAGTTGATTTTGAGCAATTGTAATAAATCAGTGGAACTACTGCAAAAAAATGGAAACTAGAATCAAAACTGGAGATAGGAATACTAAAAATTGGAGATCCAGGAAGATAGCATCATTTGGCTAGGTGAATGTAAAGATCCAGAAGAATTTATTTTCCATGCATAAATTAGCCGGAAATAGAGATGAATTACCTTCCCCCACCCCAAGTTTCAATTCTTTTCTCTAAATGCCTTTAGCATTTAGTCATGCCAGCCACATGACCACAGAGATGTCTTCAGACAGTGCTGGCTCTTTGGCTTTGAAATGGAGATGAGCACCGCCCCCTAGAGTCTGAAACGACTAGCACATATGTGCGAGGGGAACCATTACCTTTATACAAAGATTTCAGTCTTTATATTTTAAGTTTTCTGGTCATTTCAGGTAACCTTCAAGTTGCAAGAGTTCACTTCAACATTTCAAAGTTACAAAAGCACTGAAAAAAGTGAGTTATGACCGTTTTTCACACTTATGACCTTTGAAGCATCCACATGGTCAGCTGATCAAAATTAATATGCTTGGCAATTGGCTCGTATATATTATGGATGCAGTTTCCTGGGATCATGTGTTCTTTCGGAACTTCTTAACAAGCAAAGTTAAAGGGAAGCCAGATAATTTAACAAGTATGTTACTAACTTAATAATTACAGTAATTCAGTTAACAACTGTACCAAGAAAAGTCATAAAATTGAGCAAAACCTAATAAGTGTCTTGCTTAGCAACAGAAATTTTTGGGCTCAATTGTGGTCTATTTCTTCACTTTTGCAGTTTTCAACTTGATAGCTTGAAGGATTAGATCAATTCAAATCAATAATTCTGGAAGCAAAAAGGGATGGGGAAGAACACACAGTTTGAAATCTGAGCAGGCTATACCTGGTTAAACATGGCGGGCCAGATGATGTCTTGTGCAGAAATGGTGAATAGCTTATCCGGAGAAGCTGTTGGGTCGATCTTTCCAACTTTGACTTTAACAAAGGTCTGGTTTGGGAAGGTGACCCAGTTGATAATGTCAAATCCAGTCTCTAAATCCCCATTTTCATTAAAGGAAATTTTCTCTCCTGCCGTGTTATTAAATGAAATGGTTCTCAAATAGTGATGGAGCTAAACAGAAGAAGAGGTAGACAATTAATGGGAAAGAAGGAAGGAACAGAAAGAAAAAAGAATCAGTAGTATTAAGTTAAAGGTCGTTCATTTAATATGATTGGGCACATTAATAGAATAATTGTTCATTCAATATTTCTTCACTGCCATAGATGCATCGAACGTCTGCCAAAGTCAGAGATGCTACTGTATCTTAATTCTTTCTTCCATATTCTTGTAGCATTGTTATATCTTCCCAACTTCAAAGGTTTTTCAAAACAAGAGAAAAATAGAGTGGCAGGAGACTTAAAAAATCATCACTCCAGCATTCTCATTGGCCATAACCTTTGTGACACAGCGTATTGATTAGACCGAACAGCAATAGGAAATATCCATTTGTTCTTTTATTACCTGCCATGCTTTTTGAGCCAACAATATTTCTCTCCTTGTTTTGGATTTGGATTTGAGGGAAAGCATGGCTTGTAAGGCATGTGCCACACCATAGACTGCATTGTAGATGCAATAACTTTGCCCACTCATGATGGTATCAAACACAGACTTAGGTAGATTCTCCAACTTCTCTTCTCCAGTGCAGACTATTATATCTTCATCTAACTTATCTTTAGGAAAAGAACATTGAAAAGCCTGCTCCCAGAACACTCTCATTAAATGGTCTTCTGCTTCTGAACTTGGGTTTCTCATCTGAAGGAATTTATTGAATCCAGGAATCTCCTTGGAAGAAGCTATAAAAGTTATAACACCATGGAAGGCATGCATATCCATAGCTCTTTGAAGTGCAAGTGAGGTAAACTCCATCTGGGCTGGCATTATCCAAACTTTATCTTTTTCCTCAATGGATACCTCTACAAATTCTTCAATATTGGGCAACATTCTAAAAAACATAGTGTTCTGGTTTTCACAATATAGGATAATAGCATTGACAGTGCTGTTCATCATAATCACGTATGTTTTACGAAAATCTGAAAGGACACTTAAAATATCATTAGAAAATGTCTCCTTGACCATCTCTTCTATGAAGTCAAAGCAGACACCTTTCTGGGAAAACAAAGGGACAACATTTTGTACGAAACTCTCTCCAATCACATCAGGTTGGGAAATCAGTCCAATCCATGTCCATCTAAAATACAGCAGCAACTGGAGAATACCCATAATCTGTTGATCACCATTTGGGAAAAAACGATGAAAGAAAACAGTTTGCATCTTGTCATCTATCGTTGGAGGAGACCCATATGTCAGCTGAATATGGGGGGGGAGAAGCATGGTTTTCCAAAATGAAACATTATTTTTTTAAAAAAATCTGCTCTTAATTTATTCCATAATTCCGTAATAACCAAATTCTAATTATGTTCTGAAACAACTAATGTACAAAATATTCATTCAACCATTTGTTATTGTAGTATTAGTACAAAGCCGGAGACCTGAGAAGTGCATTAATTCAGGAAATGAATTTAAAGAGCAAAATAAGTATTCCCAAGTAATAATACTGTACATTTATTTTTTTAAAATCATGAATCCTTAATGTGGTTATTAAAACATGGTAAAAAAAGGCATCCATGAAAATGTATTGGGTGCAATCTCCAAACACCTGGAGCACCACTTGAACACTGTTGGCAAATTACACTTATGCAAAGTGTATTTAATAAGTCAATCAAGGAACCATAAATTATTAATGGGTTTGGATTAAGACTGAGAAATAAATCAAGTACAGTATCTAAAGTATCTCATCTGGCCACTACATATATTTTTTTTTCATTTCTCTTTGAATTGCCAATTATTTATTTCCAAATTACAAAATTTAATATAAAATGACTTAATTGTTTTCTTCCACTGTAAACATAACTTTCAAAATGTAAAAGGAGGGGAAAAATTGTTTGCAAATTTGTGGGCTTCTGTTACTGTAACCGTACATTAAAAGAATGTTTAATATTCATGATTTTGGTTTTCTGATTTTGCAAGTCTAAAAGAATTTCCCCCCTCCTCTCCCTTTACGTTCGAAAGAACAAGGAAGAGTCCATTCTGATTTGTTTTCTCAAATTTCTTTTCTGGTTAGGGCTCAGATGCTTTTGTTCAGATCGTTGTCTAGACTTTGGCTCTCAAGGCTCTTCGCACAGCCCATTACATTTCATTCAAGGGCAAATCTTACCTGGGGCATCTTATAGACATTCAAGACATTTGCCATGTAGGGATAGATGTGAGAGTTAGGTCCTGCAATAACAGATATTGCCCTATCCTTGGAATCACATTTATAATTGGGGATGAATCTGCCCTGTGTTGAGAGAAGCTCCATTGAAGCCAAGTATGTCCATCTCGCCATGAAATAACTATTAGAGAGGTGCGTACCCAGAGTCACATTGGGTAAAATGCAGTTGTTTTCATTGATCTCTTTCACAGCTAAAGCCAATGCCAGAATATGTTGATAGTTCTGTAGGAAAAATCTGCAATAAGAGATATATTCCAAAACATATTTCATTTCTTAAAGAATGTGACATTACGCATACTTTTAAAATATTTCAACTAAACACGACACATGCATGTAAATTAATCATGTAAATGTCTAAGCACTCAGAAACTGTACAATGTTCTAATATGATGAAATCTAATGAAATACTTGAATTCAAATAGTCTGCAAAAATATTTCAGAGTGTTATAAATATAATTTTTTGATGAAGGAGAAAATCCTCTTTGGAAAAACATAAAATACTTTTTTTTTTTTTTAGTGGATGAAGGCTGACTGTTATGGCTCTTTCATTCATTATAAACAATTTCCACTGAGAGATAAATTGCTTGAAGGGGCTTTAATAATCATATTATCATCTACATATAATTCTTATACTTCTTAGTTTATATATTATCTTATTGTTATTATCTTATTACTGTATCTTATTATTATATATTATCTTATTTTATATATATATATATATAGTGGTTTTCTGTCGAGGCACCTGGTCAACCCCAATATGGGAGGGAGCATACTGCTTCCCTTCTGCCTTTCAGCTCCATCCAGGAGCCCTCAAACAGTCGCATTCCTGACAAACCATTTTATACCAAATTTATATTTGCTGATAAAGAAATAAAGGGAGACTAGTATAGACCTATTTCAAGCTATTTTGCTGTCATCAGCTAGCCATACCCTTACTCGGATTTGAACTTGGGCTGCCTGCATAAAGGGAGGAGAACTTGTGGCTCAGCGGTTAATACAACTGATTAATATGCAGGCAGCCCAAGTTCGAATCCGAGTAAGGGTATGGCTAGCTGATGAGAGTTAAATAGTTTGAAATAGATCTATACTAGTCTCCCTTTATTTCTTTATCAGCAAGTGTGTGTGTGTGTGTGTGTGTGTGTGTGTGTGTGTATATGTATATGTATATGTATATGTATATGTATATGTATATATGATATTAGATATATAGTAGCATCATCCCTTTCTATTTCCTTCAGGGGGTTTCTGTGTATATGAAAAATTTGTTCAAAGAAACATGCTTGAAGGCAAATGTTGTATATAAATCTTTTTTTTTTCTTTGCTCATAATAGACTTAGAGAGCTCCCTTATCCCAAGTAAAGTGTAGCTTTTTCATTAGAGGTTATATTTTTGCTTCATGTTTGCTGAAGTACCTGTTTTAGAAATCAAGTTTACAGTGTTATATAGCACCATTTTTCCTTAATATTCACAACAACCATTAAATCAGGAAATGACGCCATTTAATTGGCAACAAAAAGTGATCCCATCATAAAGTATTGCTTATTTGATTTAAAGTAATTAAACGAGAAAAGCTTAATATGAAATTTTAATAAATCACTGAACTGAGATCTGTCATACTGTAAATGTGGGTGTGTATATATTTATTAAGGTAGCAAATTATGTTAGAACGAAGGGACTAACCGGCAAGAAACAGAAGAAATAATTTATGTTGCAAATAATAATACTGATTAACTCAGTCCAAGCATCCTATTACAGAAGAATATCTGATTTGAGATATGCTACAGTTAAGAAGAGAAAGTCTTTACAGGAGCTCATCAACTAGTTCTTCAGATGGATGCCTTCTGAAACACACTGGATCAGATATCATGTAGAACTGAGACAGTATCCCAGCTATGATGAAATCACCTGACAAAAAATACTTGTGCTTCATAAGGGGAGATTTCCCCACAGCACATGCATTAATCTGAGGAGTAAGGCATGTAAACCCTGGCAGTAACCCTGCCATTACTACAATGAAAAATACCATCTTCTTTGAGAATATCTGTGTCACCATAAATGAACCACTTCTGTCTGCAACAATGAAACATGACAAAAAAAATAAAATAAAATAACCCCTCTCACTAATTAGAATAGCTTCCATATATATCCTTTCTCAAAGAGCAGATTGTTACATTTCTAGCTCTGGTCCCACAGTTAATAACACCTTTCAATCTTGACCTGTTCTTTTGGGGTTATCCCTTGGACATCCCCAAGGATTTGAATAGAAGCTATATAACTAAGACTCCATAGGTAATTATAGGGGAAATCAATGGATGTTCAGTGAATCTCGTTGGAGTTTTTAAGGGTTATTTTATTTGTAACTTAATTATATCATGACATTTGTTTTGTTAACATTTATAATTGGAATAGGTCTGTAAACTGCTCAGAGTCCTTTGGGATGGATGCAGTGTGTAATGCCAAGTATAAAATTAATTATTATTTAACCTTGAACTTTTCTTGCCCACTAAATATTAGCTTTAGCCAAAGCATTGTAGGAGAAAAGTTACAACCAATGTTCACACTTATGACTGGCTCAGCATCACCATGGTCACATGATCAAAATTTAGGTGTTTAGCAACCCAAATGCTGTACATTTATAGAGATTGCAGCACCCTGAAGTCATGTGATCACTTCCCAGCCAGCTTTCAACAACCAAGTCAACGGAGGATTTGACGGGTCATCTCGGATCGAGGAGTCCAATTTACAGCTAAATTTTGGAGAGAGTTCCTGACATCGGTCGGGTCCACACAAGGCCACACTTAGCTCGGCTTTCTATCTGAGTACAAACGGAGCTGTGGCACGAGCGAACACAATGGTGGAACAATATATAAGATGCTATGTGGATTGCCAACAAGAGAACTGGAGGGGCCTGCTGCCATTTGCAGAAGAGGCTTACAACAACGCCGTGCACAGTAGCACCAGATTAACCGCCTTCCAGGTCACCAGCAGCATGGACTTTGTACCCATGCCCGAACTGCCCAGAGAACCCCTCTCCTCCATGACCCCGACCTAGTGGATGGAGTCGCTGAGGAAGGGCTGGGAGAATACTTAAAAAGCGCTCACGGAAGCTGCTGAGGCATACAAAAAGCAAGCAGACAAACACCAATCTCTTCAACCTCCTTTCTGTGTGGGAGATTGGGTTTATCTATCAACTAAATAAATAAGACTAAAGCCGCCTAGTAAAAAGTTGGGACCAAAGTTTTTAGATCCATTCCCAATAGTGAAAATAATAAAGAAATAAATAATAAATAAATAATAGTGAATACTTTCCTTGCCCACTAAATATTAGTGTGAGATTAAAAAAAAAAAAAACAGCAAACCTCATAAAAAGTAAAACAGAGACCATGAACAAGTAAAAAGCAGATTTATTAAAAAGACATTTATGATATAAATATATCATAAGCTTTTGCAAAAGGGTTCTCCCATGGAGAGAAAATGTCTTACAGCTCCGAATCCATGGTTTAAATACATTTTCAAGCAATCATCAAAACAATTAAAACATATCCCCCACTTATCATTGTTTTTCGGACATTACATAACATTTTGGCTTTCTTAGCAACATTTTTCTCGATTTAGAATTCCCCCTTGGAGGGGCATTTCCCTCGTAAAAATACCCTTTCAATATGTCCTTAACTAAAACAATTATTTGGAACAGGGTATCTTCCTTCCTTCTTCTAATTTAGCTTGGGTCAGCCTGACCCAACTCAGAATGTACTAACTTAAATTTATGGTGTTATTTCCTATGACTGGCTCAGCATCACCATGGTCACATGATCAAAATTTGGGTGTTTAGCAAACCAAATGCTATATTTTTATATGGGTTGCAGCACCCTGAAGTCCTGTGATCACTATTTGTTCCTTCCCAGCCAGCTTTCAACAACCAAGTCAATGGAGGATTTTCTCAACAGCTATGTGATTCGTTCAACAACTGCAGTGTTTCACTTAACAGCCATGTCAAAATGGTCATAAAATCAGGTGTAAGTCACCTAACAACTGCCTTGTTTAGCAATAGAAATTTTGGGCCCAATTGTGGTCATAAATTGAGAATTACTGCACAATATGCGGCAGTAAAATTATTATCAAGACCTTGAACAAGGAGATCCTGTTCAAGAAAATATAGGTTTCCACATAGGAACCAATTTGTTCTGCACAATAATAATATTAGTAATCTTACTGGAATATCTCTCTTTAAAATATCCTATAGAGTATATATATATCTCCTTTTAAAGAATGAGGTAATTATAGCCAGATGATTGATTCCAGCAGAGGAATTGATATTATTAACATTTCTTAAATCCTTGTTTTCTTCTGTTCCTTGGAATTTATGAAGAATTGGAAAAGTAGTTAAGGAATATTTGGCTAATTACAGGAGAAATAAGCTGATCCTTGGGCAAATGCTACAGACTTTGGCTAAAAAAAAGATGGCTCACATCTATAGAATGGAAAGGAATGGAATGGAATGGAATGGAATGGAATGGAACGGAACGGAACGGAACGGAACGGAACGGAACGGAACGGAATGGAACAGAATACAATAACAGAGTCGGAAAGGACCTTGGAGGTCTTCTAGTCCAAGCCTCTGCTCAGACAGGAAACCCTACACCACTTCAGACAAATGGCTATCCAATCTCTTCTTAAAAACTTCCAGTGTTGGAGCATTCACAACTTCGGGAGGCAAGTTGTTCCACTGATTAATTGTTCTAACTGTCAGGAAATTTCTCTTTCCTACCACTTTCTCCTACTGGTATTTTAAGATTATATTCCTTTGTTGTTTATATGTTCACTGAGATCTTATGCACTGGAGACAAATTCATTGTGTGTCCCATCACAATTGGTCAATGAAGAATATTTTATATTCTATCCCTTTTGCATTATTTCCCTCTCTCAAATTAGACCTCAGCAAATATGCTTTAGTTTATTTTATGACAAATGTAAGAGCTTCAAATACTTGGGAAGCATTATCTTGAGCTATGAATTTTGGGATAAAGAAATTAACTCCAGAATCAGCAAGATTAGCTTAGCTATGGGACAGCTATATACTAGAGTGACACAATGTCCTTATCTCCACAAAACTGAAAATTTACAAAGTTGTGGTTATCCCTTCCTTCAATTAATGACATGAAAGGCTCTATATAGAACCTGTATAGAGAGGCTGTATACTCTCTATACAGATTCGATACAGGTTCTGGAGAGAAAGAAGAAGAGAGGAGAGGAGTGGAGTGGAGTGGAGAGGAGAGGAGAGGAGAGGAGAGGAGAGGAGAGGAGAGGAGAGGAGAGGAGAGGAGAGGAGAGGAGAGGAGAGAAAAAAGAAAACCCCAAGAATTATTTTGTTATTTCAGTGTTTTTTCACATGTTCCAATTTATTTGCTCATGAAGGAGTACTAGAATGGAACAAAAAAGAATTTAAGGATTTCAAATGAGCATTGTTGACCTTCCTATCTTTATTAAATAGATCTTGATTGCATATATTTTTTTCTGCATATGATAAAATAGCAAAGACTTGTACCACGAATTGAATTCCACAATTAAATCGGAAGGAGTGCTCTAAATCAGAGGTCTCCAACCTTTATGGCTTGTTGGACTGGTGGAGGCAGCAGGATAGGGGTTCCGTGGTTTCACTGGTTCCGTGTGCCAATTCTGAACTTAGTTGGGCTGTGGCCCAACATTAAGCCGCAGTCGGCGACCCCTGCTCTGAATGATAGCTAAACTTCCTTTCCGATATCCTTTGTCAAGAAATCTTATTGCAGACTGCAAAATATCAATTGTGCATAAGTTGATTGGTTTGACCAGGTGTAGGCTTATGTCACTAACCAAGCCAGGAAAAAAAAAAACATTATGTGCAGTGGTGGGTGTCTACCAGTTCGCCCTAGTTCAGCTGAACTGGTAGTAGCAGCATCAGGAGGCTCCACCCACCTGCCCGGACGTCTCTGCACATGCGCAGAAGTGTCGTGCATGCGCGTCAGTGTATGCACGACATGAGCAAACTGGTAGCAACCAAAATTGAAACCCACTACTGATTATGTGTCTACAAGGAATGTAAGGAAATGGATTAAAAAAATGACTTGAAGTGAGAAAAAGAACCAAGTTTTTTTTTTTTTGCAGCAAATACAATGTGGAAAAATATGGGTCTCCCATATCTTAGAAATGTTTCTGTTCTGAAATTTATTTATTCACTTTATAAATTAAAGTGTCTCCACAGTTAAAAACTTGTCTCCACTGGTCTTCCTTCCTTCCTTCCTTCCTTCCTTCCTTCCTTCCTTCCTTCCTTCCTTCCTTCCTTTCTTTTTCTTTCTTTCTTTCTTTCTTTCGAACCACACACTGTTTCCATCCCAAATGACTCTGAGCCACTTAAAGACCTGCTCCCATTAACAAAGTTAAAAAGAAATGTCAATGTCATGATATAATTAGATTACAAATACAATCACCCAAGTTCTGAAAGGCCTCTCAAAAGAAGAAATAGAGGAGGTGGGGAACATATAACATGATGGGTCAACTTCTCTTTGGTTCTTTGGAAAAAGTTTAAGTGGGGTAGTTCTAGCAAAATATTTCATGTTTGGCATTTGTTGACTGGAATTGCCTTTTTTTTCTGTCTCTCTCTCTCTCTACTTCCAATACTGTTTTCAGTTATGACTGTTTTGTTCAAGTCCATGAATATCATCATTCTATTTTCCTACTCAAAGTCTCTGGGGAGCTTCGCTGAACGTCTATTGATTTCTCCTATAATTACCCATAGAGTCTTAGCTTTGTAGCTTCTTCTCAACTCCCTGGGGATGTCCAAGGGACAATCCAAAAGAACAGGTCAAGATTGGAAATTGTTATTAATTGTGGAACCCGAGAGCTAGAAATGTGACAATCTGTTCTTTGAGAAAAGATATATATGGAAGCTATTCTAATTAGTGAGAGGGGTTATTATTATTATTTTGTCATGTTTCATTGCTGCAGACAGAACTAGTTCATATGTAGTGACACAGGTATTCTCGAAGAAGATGATATTTTTCATTGAAGTAATGGCAGGGTTACTGCCAGGGTTGACATGCCTTACTCCTCG